TATGTGGAGAGTAGTGAGTGGAGCTTTGGCCACCAAGGAAGCTCTTCTAAGAAGAAAATGCTCCAGTACACCTGCCTGTGATATTTGCAGATGTCAGGTGGAATCAATTAAGCATGCTTTATTTTTATGTCCATGGGTTGAGAAATGTTAGTTTGGGTCACCTTTGTCACTGAGATTCAATAAATCAAGGATGTGTAATATGGCCAGGTGGATGGAGGCATCGATGAATCAGAAGATGGGACATGATGATTTTAGTATCACTCTTTTTGCTACCACCTGCTGGGAAATTTGGAAAGCTAGGTACAGGCATATTTTTGAAGGTACCGAGGTGGATGCTATCAGATGTGCAGCAAGGTTGTTGAGGCTAGTTAGAGATTATGATGAGGCTCAAAAAGAAAGGGGGAGACATTAGATGGAGGGAAATGGTGTTGAAAGAGAGAGAATTTGGAGGGCACCTGAGAATGTGGATGCTTCTTTCAAGTTATTTGATATGACTGCTTCTGTAGGGTTTGGAAATGAAGGTTAAGGCATATTCAGCTCTTATTGCAAAACCCTTGAAAATTTTCGAAGCTTTAAATTGCAGTCAGAGGTGGGAAGGAAAGAAGGTGATAGTTGAAACTGATTATCAAGAGCTGTTTCACAGATTGAGAGCTTCTGAATTCAAGGGATGCGAGTGGAGCTATGAAGATGTCATTCTCGCAAGGGCAATAGAGCTGTGAAGATTTTGAGCTACGACTGGTTTTGGCTAACTACTTGTTGCTTGTTGTTCTTTGTTAAGTGTTGTTTTGTTTCTTTGGTAAGTTGTATGCTAGGTTATTTTGAGTGCATGCTTTCTTTGGTAAGTTGTGTGTTAGGCTTTTTTTTTTTTTTTTGGGGGGGACCTGGTGTTAGGTTGCATGCTAAGATTTTTTTTTTTTTCCCGGTTGTTTGCTTTGGCTTCTGCTGTTAGTTTTCTGAGCACTGCCAATAAATTATGTGTTGCCTATAGCATTAAACTACTTGTTCGGCAATTTTATCCCTATGAGAAATTATTATGTGAAAAACTTTAACTTGAAAAGCTTTATTTTATTTCGCAATGTGCAGAACAGTTCTTCTACTTGCTGAACAATTAAAATATCTCGTATTATTCTTCATCAGTTTGAGCTATATTTTAATTTTTATTTGATTTCTATATTATAAATTGTAATTGATTTTAATATCTATTTAAAAAAAATCTTTGGTTTATTTCAAATTTTTAATTCATATGCTGTGACTTTTTTAAGAAAACATCAATATAATTTTAGTTTTATTTAAACGATAGAGTTGTTACCGTGTGTTTTTGTGTGTGTGTTTTTAATAATATTTGTTGAAGTCTTTGTAAAAATTTGCAAATTAAAAAATTAAGAAAATCATAAATTATAATTAAGGTGAAATTACTAGTATTTCTTTTGAAAAATAAAATTTTTGTACTTTAATTATTGAATAAGTATTTAGTTTGAAATGAACGAATTTGAAAAATAAAAAATTGAAAAAGAAGCATAAGGGATGGAAAAAAAAAAAGTACTCTACAATAGAGAGGAAAAATAAAATAAAATTAAAGTTGTTGGGAAACAGATAAAAATCTTAAAAAAAAAAGAAGATACTGGCATATAATAAGCATGTATGTTGCATTTAAATTTGGTTGAACAAGCATTTTATGAGTTGCATTTATTGTATAATTTGTAATTGATCTTTTATACTTATCATGATAATTTTTGTTTATAGCACATTTTTATTTATTATGTTGTAATTTTTTAAAAATATTATAATTTTAATTTCAATTTAACAATGTTGAATTGTTACAATTTATATATATAATAAATAAGTAAAACCAACTCCAAGCTTATCTGCATTTTAATATTATTTAAATATTAAGATGAGAAAAAAAATTAAAGTAATTAAGAGACAGAAAAAATCTTGATAAGAAGTATTGTATGGTTTGGAGTTTTGTCATCAAATAGCATATGTGAGCATTTCTTTTTCTCTGTGTTACAAATTTCACAACATCCATATATCCATGATTGGGATTTTAGAGAAAAACAAGATCTCATTTTAGAGAAAAATATTAAAAAGAAAAGAAAACACTCAAATAAGTGCGTACCTGTAAATGAGTTTATATCCAAATACAATTTTTTCAAAGATGTGCAGTTGCTTATTGATTGTGGAATGCTTCCCTCTAAATGATTACTAGCAACACCAAAGACTTCAAGTAAGGGGAGATGATGACACATTTCTTCTGGCAAATTACCCTTTAAATGATTTTGGCTAAGGCCAATAAATCTCAAAGAAGACATGTTCCAAAGAAATGAATGAATTTCACCTATAAATAAATATAAAATATTTGTTAATTACTTGGTAGTATGGCAAGCATGTTCCTAATAAATTTGTCAGTACACAAGCATATAAATAATACATGAAATTTTGGTAATTAGATGCTTAAAATTAATAGAAAATATTTTATTTTTTATTGCACCGTAGTTTAAAAGGACTCTTCTAATATTAATAACCAATTGGATGTTAAATTTCTTTCAAAGAAGAATTGCTGAAGATCAAAGATTATTGAATTAATCTCATCTAATCTAAAGTGAGCATCCAAATTATTTATATTTTGTATTATAGTTATTGAAGTATTTAGAAAGGCTCTAACCTTAAGATGTGAGGATGAATTCATCATAGGCAAAAAAGGGCTGAAATTTTAGTTTTTCTTTAAGGAATTAAAATACTTTTAGTTGCACATTTTGGAGATAAAGCATAAAATTAAAGATGGAATTTCACCCATTTTAATGTAAAAATGGATAAGTGACGAGAGAATTAGAAATATTATGATTGTCAAATAAAAACAAACATTATATTGATAGCGAACGCATACTTATTCTATTGATCCAAAATTTAATTTTATTTCTCTTTTTAAAGACATTTTTGCTGGGGTAAAAATTGGGAGGTATCCTTGAAGATTACTATACCACATCACATACTGATAGTCCACAGTTTTTCAGACCGGTTTTTACAGGGCTTCTCTAAATTTTTTTAATGATCTAAAATTATATTTTATTTCTCTTTTCAAGAATTTCTATTATCAATGCAAAATCTTTAGTAAGCTTCTCATGATTCTTTAACATGAATGAAAGAAATGAAAAGCAAAATCGCATTTGAAAATTATTTTTCATTTCAGAGGTAAAAACAAAAACACACACACACGATCTAAGACAATCATATAATTAAAATTCTTACCTTGCAAAATGTTCTGGGTAAGATGAAGAAATTGGAGGTTTGTCAAATTTCCAATCTCACTTGGAATGATTCCTGGACAAATTATATATGATGAAGTCATTTTATTGAGCAAAGTATATTAATGATGTAGTAGATTAAGAATAAAATTTTAACAAAAATTGTTTTTCACATGTTAAATATATCAAGTGGTTCCATCAGTCCATGATCTTACCTTTTCTTTATTTTGGCATTGTAATATTGTTTGCATATAATATACATAAATAATAAAGAAACTTCACGTGTCTTACATAATAATTTCAAAAACTTGAACATCTGTGCTATACTGATTAATCCATGCATAAATATTAAAAAGGGAAAAGGCAAACTTCCTGTAACCATCAAATTTCTTACCTTTTAATATCGCAAATGAGTACATTAAGTTTAACTATATAACTTTTATGCATTGCCAATTAATCATGTACGGCATAAAGCACTAGACTCTTTTTTCAGCAATTTATCTCTGATGAAGGAATTTGTTTTGTGCAGTTTTAGTGAGAAATTATTAAGTATACTTTGCTGAACAAAAAAGTTCCACATAATGTTTAATAATTCCACATTTTTTAATGTAAGCCCCCACGCTTTCTCCCTCATGTTGATTTTTCATACTTCTTTTAAATTTCAGAGTAAAATAATTATTAAGAAATTATTTGTGGATTTTTTTTTGAAAAGCTTTATTTAATTTTATAAAGAATTGAACATACTGAATAGTTCCACTTCAATATGAATGATTTAAAACAATACAATTAATTATTTGTCAGACTATTTAAAACATCTCGTATTCTCATTTATTTTTTTGAATTTTTTTTTTCTAAACTAGCTTAAGCTCAGATATGGTTGAATTAGTGTTTATTGAATTAGTGCATTTAAATTTTTAAATTAAATTCTTTTAAATTATTCACAACTGATATTTTATACTTAGTTTATTTAAATAAATTTCTTGTTTATTGTAATAAATAAGGAAAAACACAACTGCAAACCTTTCTGTCTTTAGCATTAAATAAACTTATCCTACCATACGAAAACTTTCAAATATTAATACTAACTTTGACATGTCTAAAAATAAGTCGAGAACTTGCCTTGAATATAACTAAAGAATTTCAAGTAATACTCATTTCAATTCAGAAGAGTAAAATACAAAAAAAAATTATTTGTTACATTAATTTCAACTCTTTTAAAAAAATTTAAAATAAAAAATTATGAAAATTATAAATGACACTTGAGGTGACATGATTAGTATATTGGATAATTATTTAATTTTTTGTTGATAAAAATCATTTAATTTGAAAGTAATGAATTTGAAAAATAAAAAATTACATGAGTGAGCGAATTTACAAATTTTATCTCGTTGTTTTATTATTTTTCACATGAGGCATGTGGGCACATTATATGCTGAGTACTTAAAAAGTTGGAAAAATAGATATGATAGTCCTTGTACTTTTATCAAATTTTGAATTAGGTTTTTTTTATTAATTTCAAGTAATACTCATTTCAATTCAAAAGAGTAAAATACAAAAAAATTACTCATTTTTGAAAGAAATAATGATTAATTAATTAATTAATAATAGAACTAAAATATAACTTAGATGGCCCAAATCAAAACTGAATGTTCCAGATCCGTGGGTTGTAAGCCTTCATCATTTTGAAAAACACAATCCTTCTAGATATTCCAAATGACATAATAGCAGTATTCTTTATTATTCCCATGCTATCTCTTATGAAATTTTGAGAACAAATGTTCTCTCTACTTCAGTTCTAATGCGTGATTTATTGAAAAGAATATCGACGACTACATTTTCGAAAACAAAAACAAAAACTTAGAAGCAATGCGCGCAAAGATACCCAAGAAAATTGGGACACACATTGTCACGTTGTTTATCATCTTAGCTTATTTACATTAACTTGGATGAACAATATAAATGAAGTGATGAAAAACAAAATCTTATTTTAGAGAAAAATACTACTACCTCCGGTCCTTAATATAAGACCCCATTTGACTTTTTGTTTGGTCCTAATTATAAGACCCCAATCCATTTTGTCTCTCATATTTATGTATTTTTTTCCAAGATAGTCCTTCTAATAATGATAGTTCTAGCCAATACACTTAATTAGCAAGGATATTTTAGGAATGACAATACTTATTTATTACAAATAACTAACTTAACTTACTTCCTTAATCTCCTCAAATAAGTCAACTGGGTCTTATAATTAGGACCGGAGGTAGTATAAAGAAGAGAAAACACACAAGTAAGTGCATACCTGAAAATGAGTTAACATTCAAATATAATTCTTTCAAAGATGTGCAGTTACTTATTGATTTTGGAATGCTTCCCTCTAATTGATTATCAGCAACATCAAAGACTTCAAGTAAAGGGAGATGATGACACATTTCTTCTGGCAAATTACCTATAAACAGATACAGAATATTTGTTAATTAGTTGACTAGGAATTTCATGAATTCACATTTAACCATATAAATGGTGAATGGAGTTGTGTTAATTAGAGCCTTAAAATTATCAGAAAATAATTTAGTTTTTATTGGAATGCAATTTAAAAGGGACTCTGCTAATATCGATGACAAATCAAACAGTAAAATTTCTTTCAAAGAAGAAATGCTAAAGATAGATTATGTAATTAATTTCACCCATTTAAAATAAACAATCAAATTATTTATAGCTTTCATATAAATGATTTAATACTTTCAAGGCTCTAGCTTTGAATCTGATAAATTCTTTATAGGCAGTTTTAGTTTTCATTATTTAAGGAGTTAAAATACTTCCAGTTACACATTCCTGAGATAATATAGTATAAATAGTAAATGAATTTTCTCACCAAAGCACTGTATACTATAATTTTCTCTTTTAAACCCATTTCGGTTAAAAATTTTGCAGGAAATGTAGAATAAGCATAAATAAAAAATAAAAAATTTGTTAAAGTGCAAGGTTAAGAGGGTGTATTGTAGTATCCTTTCTTTTCAAGTAGAAAATGTTGATGGAATTGTGTGCATATTACACACAGACACACACATACATATATATATATATGGAATATATGCAAGATTCCATACACACACACACACCGTTTTCAGACTATTCGGAATGTTTTATCATTTTTTTAAATTATATTTCCTTTGCATGGTAAAGACCTACTTATTTTTAAAAATAACACTATTATGTAATCAACTAAAATTATTTAAAAAAAAGACATGACTCTTAAATGATAATATATTATTTTTTATGTAAGGCATGAGGTTTTTCTTTCTCAGCAGGATCAAAGAAACATTGAAACCCACCTATAAGTCCTTCTCTGCGGGCTCCCATGTTTTTCACTTTTAGATATGTGTGTAAAAATTATATATAAATAAAAAAAATGTTAAAGTGCAAAGTTAAGGGATGGTTAGATCAAGCTTACTTGCAAAGGGGTTGTATTGTAGATATTTCTTTTAAAGAAGAAATGTTGATGGAGTTGTGTGTGTATGTTTTATCGTTTTTTTAAGCTATATTTCCTTTGCATGTTGAAGACTCGCTCGTTTTTTAAAATAACGCCAACATATAACTACAATTATTTTTTTAAAAAAGGCATGACTCTTGGGATAACTTATATTATGTGTTATGTAAGGCATGAGGCTTTGCTTTCTCAGCAGGTCAATGTGTGATTCGTTGGGAATTTCAGATGATAGACTATAATGAAAACCAGTCACCGACAAGATAATGCAGCAGAAAATGGAAAACAAAGAGAACATTGAACCCCAACGAAGTCCTTCTCTTTGGCCTTGCATGTTTTTCATTGATTCAACATTTTATTTCAATTTTTGACATTTTTGTGAAACTTTTATATAGAAGAAAGCATAGCGATTTTGGGATTGAGAGAAAGAATCGAGTTTCATGTCTTTAAAAGTAATCTAACAACAAAATTTAAAACAATCATATACTGAAAACTCTTACCTTTCAAGTTGCTTCCGCTAAGATCTAGCCACTGAAGTTTGGTCAAGTTTCCAATCTCACTTGGAACGGTTCCTGGATTGAATTTGTTATCCGCCAACTCCAAATTTGCCAATTCCTTGCACTGATGCCAAATGGAGGGTATCTCCCCAGACAAATCATTTTCCTGGACACCTAATGTTTCAAGTTTCGGAAGCCCAAAACACAAATTTGTTGGGAGACTTCCAGATAAGTTATTTTTTGCAAGTAGGAAGTCTTGCAGCACTGAATTGTTGAATAATGAAGATGGTATTGAACCTGCAAGGTGATTATTCACAAGATACAACTTTTTTAGCCGTGAAAGATCCCCAATCTCATTTGGGATGCTCCCTTCAAATATCAGAAGGAAAAAAGAGAATAATATTAGTAACAATTTTTATTTATGATAAGTTACTATGTACATTAGATAAATCTGTATTTGAAAAAAAAACACATATGGTAAGACTTGCACATTTTTTTTAGAAATAACTCAAATATATTCTAATAAATTAAACCACATCTACAATTATTTTCAAAAAGGAATAGCCCTTCCAATTTGGCCGGGCTATTAACCATAGAATAGATAATTTGGACGTGTGATTTAATTTGTCGAGAAAGTTGGTTGGCTTACTGTCGAAGAACATATTGGGCTATTCCAATTTGACAAATTTTGATAGATTCATGGTGATTAAGACTAATGGATACATTCCCTTTCATCATTCCTATCAAAACGAGCACACGTTTGTTGGGAGACTCTGAAATTCTTTTTGCTAACTTTACAGACTTTTTTACAAATAATATTACCAATAAATTATAAAATTAAAAGATAATTTAGATTATCCGAATCAAAATTAAATGTTCCAAATATGTTTGTTATGATCGAGGCGTGCCGACTTTGAAAAAACGCCTCAAGAAATTTTTAAAACATATATTTTCAAAAACTGATGATAAGCCATCGTAATTATTTTCAAAAAGTGAATGCATTACTAGCTAAATAAGTCCTATATAGGAACAATTCAAGATCAAATCGATAGGCCTTGGCCAAAAAAAGAAAATTCACAGGCCAATCAAGATTATAGGTGCGTAGTGACAAAATACAACCCATTCACTAATCCGACATGATCTAAATAATTCCTAAGAATTTAAAAAAGAATTCTTTCACAATGATATAAATTTTCATAGATTAACAAAAAATATTTAGTAGTACTGAATCATTCAATATTAATAATGAAAAACTGAATGCTATGCTTTGTCACCTTACCTTATAAATAACTAACTACAATTTTGAGAATGAAGCATCATTCAAGAAAACCCACGTTTTTTTTTTTGACCAAACGAAAACCCACGTTCAACACACCTAATATTTGATTCAAAGCTAAATATTTCTTTAGATCATTGGTAAAGAAAAAAGAAGCGAAAATAAAAAGAACGTAAGCTTGTAATCCCTCAAAGTTCAATATCATGTCATCAATTTAATAATATAGATAGTTCATATACGAAACCGTGAGCATAATTTTTTTATATCTATTTGTTCATTTTTAGTATGTTTATTTGTAATAAGTAACATACATAAGAAAAAAATATTATTCAAATACAATCTTTTTTGAAAGAAATAATAATTAATTAATAAATAATAAACGTAACTATAACTTAGATGGCCCAAGTCAAAATGAGTGCTCCAGATCCCTGGATTGTAAATCATTTTGGTAAAAACAATCATTCTAGACTTTCTAAATGACATAATAGCATTATTCTTTTACTATGGACATGCTAGCTCTTATGAAATTTTGAGAACAAATATTCTATCTACTTCAGCTCTAATTCGTGATTTATTGAAAAGAACATCGACTGACTATATTTTTAAAAAAACAAAAACTGATAAGAATCGGGCAAACATATCCAAAAAAAAAATTGGTACTAATCCAAGCACATGATGATTGAGGATTTATATCCTCATAATTAAATAGACTAGTTTTGAGCAAACACAGGTATGAACATAAAAAATAGTCTAAACATACCTGACAAACTATTAGAAGACAACCAAAGCAACTCAAGCGAAGACAAGTTGGAAACTGTTTGAGGAATTGCTCCTGAAAGTTTGTTTCTTGAAAGTTGTAACTTCTTCAAGTGCTTTAGACTTCCTATGTCAGGCGGAATGGTACCTTCAATGAGATTGGAATTCCAATCTAAAGTCTCCAACCTTGATAGATTGAACAGAGATAATGGAATAAATCCATTGAGACTGTTATTTCGAAAACTTAACTGCTCAAGCATAGATAAATCTCCTATCCATGTTGGAACTTGTCCATGAAAGTCATTATAGCTCAAGTTGAATAGTCGCAATTGACGTAATCGAACTAAGTCTTGAGGGATTTGACCGTGAAAGCTGTTTTTGTTGAGATCAAGTTCAACAAGGAGTGAGAGATTTCCTAGTTGTGGAGGTATGGTGCCCTTAAGTTTCATGCCACTAAGATTCACGGAACGGACCCTTTCATGCTGAGTATCGCATGTGATACCAGCCCAACTGCATGGAGAAGAAGAGACAGACCAATTAGCTAAGAAATCATATGGATCAGAGGTGATAAAGGATTTAAGAGTAAGAAGTGCAAATTTGTCGGTATTGATGTTTGTATCAATGGAAGCTAAGGTGACTGTAAAGCAAAGAAGCAAGATGATGAGGAGGACAAAGGAGGAAGGTTTTCCCATATTGATCATATCAAACTCATCAGATCTTGCACAACCAGGAACTAACACGCACATCGTTTTATACTTGTCCGATTCCGAATCAAGTCAAGCTAAGCTAACAAAATGCATTGTTCCTCTGGAGCGCATGAAAATTCCGTAAATAAATATATTTTAACGTCTCATTATTCCTTGATTAAATTATCATGACCCAAAAAACAAAAATAAAAGAAAATAAAGATAAAAGAAAATGTGAGTACATTGCAAAGTAAATAAAGATAATAATTAAATCTAAAAGTTTTGGAAATTTTCTTGTGAAATTATGGGGATATCTATTATATAAGTTATATCCAAAAGATTTCTCCAGTTATTCCAAAATAAACTTCATTCTTCCCAAAGTATTTAGCTACATTTTATTATAATTGTTTTTCATTTTCTGGAGATGAAAAAATTGCAAAAATATATTTCTGAGGTTTAATAATTATTATTAATATATTTAGATATTCCTTTTTATGGATTTGATGTCGTAATATATTAAACGTTCTCACTGTTTTAAATTTAACTATAAAGATGTCATATTTATTTGTTATACTTTTCGCATTTACAAAAATAACCAAAGACTTCAAAGCTGACTTGTGTATATCTTCTTTTGTTGTGGACTTATCTTTTTACTGTGTGTTTATCTTTCTAGCCTTTTTATTTTCACAATTTTGAATCGAATTGATGATTATGTAATTAAATGAAATTTAACTTAATTAACTTCAGCACTGACAAAATCAAAGAAAATTTAATTTGTAAAATATTATAATAGTAATTTTATAAAATATTAAATATGAGGCTTAAAAAATTGAAAAAACATTCATAATCAAAAGTAGCTAGTGGGAAGAAGCTTGTGTGGACATATTGTCCCTAGCGTTGACAACCACATATATCAAAAGTCTATAGACTCTAATTAATTGGATGTATTATATATCACCAGCCCATTATTTATTAATTGGAGTTCTTGACTTGTTGTGAGTAGACATCAAAGTCACATCATTTCACACGAAACAACTTGTGTAGAGGTGATATCATTTTAGTTTACCCAGAGGAAAAATACCACAATTGAATTCAAAAACACATAAATAATGCAGCTTTTAATTTGTTCTACAGATTTTATATTTTGTATGTGGCAAAAAGAGTATGTAATTTTTTATGTACGTTTTGAAAGGCAACCACTCACTTTGATAATCCACTTTCTACGTCACAAACTTGAAGGGATCATTATGTGCAATTTTTTTAAAGCATTTTGAAAAATTATACTGAAGGATAATATTGTAACAAAATTAAGGCTGGTTTAGTTTGTATGAATATAATTAAGGTTGATAGGTTGCGGATTAAGATTACCCACAAAAAAGTTTAGCCGAGAATACGTCAAAGAAACAAAACAATTGGCGTACTTGAAATTTTATATTGGTTTTGATATCCTTAACATTTCATGAGCATAAGCAAAACATGAATGAAATTTTAGAGATTATCTACTTTTTCCTGAATATAAAATATGAAATAATCAGTATAAAAAATTAGCTATAATAAAGTATGAAACTATTTGAAAACTATTAGTTAATTCTTTTAAGAAAATTAGTTATTTTGTTTAGGGGTGTTCAATATTGGCCCATCTTGGTCGGCCCGTTCTAATCCCAACCTTATTGGGACGAGACAGACCTGTCTCGAAATGTTTTAGAATGAGACAAACCGGGATGGGACTAAAAAAGAGACCAGGACAAGGGACGAGGTCGTTCCGTCCCGGTTCCTTTTATTTTTTTATCATATTTATATAATATAATTTTTTTATATTTTTTTAAGATTTGAGACAATTGTATGGAATTATGGACCCATTTATTTAGAGCTTTTATATTTGTTGATGATTTGAGACTACTGATGAATAGAATTTTCAACAAATTTTTATTGTGTTCAAAACTTTTATTTAGAATTTTTAATGACTATTATATGTAATATTTTGGGCTTTTGTTTGAGGGTGCCCAAAGAAATAAAAAAGAAAACAAAAAGATCTTTGTACAAGGGTTAAGCCCAAAAACCTACAATTAGAAAAAACAAATCAAATTTTATTGTGCCTAACAACTCAAAAAATTTTAAAAAAATTATATTGGGACGTCCCGATCCCGTCCCCTCCCTACCGGAACCTGGACAATATTAGGACGGGATGGGATACGGGACAATTTTGTTGTCTCGTTACTGTTCATCAGGACGAAACTAGGACGGGCCTATCCCAGAACTATCCCGTGAACAGTCCTAATTTTGTTGATAATTAATTTAGAAAGAAGAAAGATATAGTGTGCGTGCACAGACAGGCTAAAAATGAAACACCATATATTACAATAAAGATCAAATTGAGAAAGCACGCAGGCCATAAAAAAAAAAAAAACAAAAGCTAAGATGTGCATATTTGTTGAGTCTACAAGGAAAAAAAAATTGCGTAATTTGAAAATTTAAATTAAGTAACACTCACTTAATATGTCAAAAAAAAAAGAGAAATTCGGTAGATGACCATAAATTCAAAATTACATCATTTGACTTGATGGTATGAAAGAGCTGCGCACAAAAAAGAAATGAAGAAAAAACAATATATAATATAAATCTAAATCCTAGAAAATGTGCCCTAAACATGTTCTAAGAATATCTTCGACCAATTTAAGGAACTTCTAAATTTATTAAAAATTTAGAAATTTCCACTTAATCTTTCAATTTCACTTTTTAAACATATAAATAAGAGCTTAATTAATTTCTTTGAGACTAGCCAAACAAAGACATTGGCAATACACTAAAGGCTAAGATTCATTCAGCATCCTAAAACATTTGTGGTACAGTTTGGTCTTCAGATGTGAAGTGCTGAATGCATCTAGAAAAATATCTTAGGTGCTAAATGAACTACAAAATAATTAAAGATGTTGGGTCAGCAGACAACGAGCAAGCATAAATGGAAGAGGCAGAAAATCTTTTATTTTTTCACCTGGTCACGGTGGATAGCGAGAATAAACTTTATTTTTTATAATATAGCGTTTTTATAAACTTACTAATTCTAAAAAGATATACTAAAGTAAATATTTAATTATAAATTAATTAAAAAAAGATATAAGATATCATTGGTCGCAGTTTCAACGATTATAAGATGGGGTTCTCATTAAAAATAGAGTTGTAACACTTTTATGTTCCTCTCTTAATTATTTAAGGTTTCAATGACTAAGGACCCATTTGGTATATGCTGCTAAGCTACTCCCTCCATTTCATAATAAAAATTATTTCACAAATAAATTTTTTGCACGTTTCATAACAAGTGTCATTTTCATATTTCAAGAAGATAAGATATATTCTTTTGCCAACATTTCTACACACTCATCAGTGTTCAAATAATATTTATTTAGAGAGCACTCACTAAACAGAGCCATGGTAGACTTTTTAAATATTAAGTGGTCCGCAAAAGAAGTTAATATAATGAAAGAGAAAGAAAATCATGTTAGTGATAAGGAAAATTAAAACTTTGATCCCATAAATAGTTTGTTACCACATTAAGGACGGTATTTTCATTATCATTGTATTTCATGGGGGATAGAGTAACTTTATAAACTACGTTAGTATTGAAAAGAACCTTTGTCCTTTTAGGAAATATAATTTCACTTATTAGACCTCATTTTTATTTTCATTGTATTATTTGATTTATGTTTAGTCTTATTAGACCTCATTTTTGTTTTCATTGTATTATTTGATTTATGTTTAGTCTTGTGGGCCATGTATAGATAATACCTTCAGAATAACGTTACTACTTGGAAGAAGCATATGGGGACATATTGTCACTACTCTTCACAAACATATATATCAAAACTCTATAGACTTTAATTCACTGAAATAGGCCTCAAAGTCACACACCATTTCACATGAAGCAACGTCTAATTTCTTTCGTTAGCTAGAGATTATCCCAAAAGAATGCTAGTTAGAAGACATCAAAGAAAAAACTAAAGATAATCATTAATGAATAATCATCGTTTGAGATGTGTTATCGTCAAGACGATGAGATTTGAACTGATCCAATTTTTAATTCTTCGCTTTTAAACTAAAAAGAAAAACAATAACAGAGAGAGAAGGGCTGGCAATCGACTACCTGTTTTCTTTAACACTTACATGCAAAGCTGTTATTTATGTTAATAGATCAAATTTTATTTTTAATGCCTTTTGCTTGTGATTTTCTTGACCTGAGGCGTTGTTTATACTTTCCGATCATCCATTGTTATTGCTCCCAGCATTGTTTGAAAGGTCATCTGCGTACCATTAGTTGGCAGTGTGAGTTAATTATTTGAATCGATGAACAATTTAATTTTTTTACCCAAAGTTATGAAAAGGATTAATTACTTTTATATGTAATATGGGTTGATTTGTCATATAAATTAGGGTTTTCTCTGTAGTTCGATGGTCCTTGTGTTTTGATACTATGTCAAGATGAACACAACCAATACACAACTTTTAATTGTATGCTTACACATGGGAAGGTTGTATATTTAAGAACGTACATTATAATGTGAGTCCATTTCTTCATATCAGCGGTTTAATTTGACATTGATTACCCTTTTGTTGAATCAGCCGTGCTCTTTCAAAATTATTTCGTAGATTTTCATAGAAACTTTGATTCTTTCTTGCGCTTTTGTCTGTGTTTGCGTTTGGGATATCAATCTTTTTTGGCTTGATGAATCCATTCCTTAATAAATTATGACCCAGTGGATCAATTTTATAAGAGTTGGTATATGTAAGAACAACAAAGAATTGGGAATCTATTAAATTCATATGAGCTGGGCTGTTATGATTCATCAAGGGATATAAGAGTGTTGGCATTTCTGGAGTATCTAAACCCTCACTTGTATATCAAGGATTTTTGAATGTTCATTAGTCATTATATTCCCTTTTTCCTTAATTAATTAGTATTCGGAAGCATTAACGGCATAGGTTAATTAGCTTATTAAGATTTTATTTTCATTTTATTATTGTTGTCTTCTTTCATGTTGAGCACATGGGCTTATCAATCATCTATC